AGAAATAAACGTTATAAAAATAAAGGCTCAGATTAATGAATTCATATGGAATGAGAGCTTTAGCCAAAAAAAAACAAAACTTATGAAGGTGAGGCATTAGCATGGGTCGCACAGAGAAAACGTAAGAAATAATGTGTTTTTGTTAAATTCCAAGAGCCCGGCTGTGCCTGTATGTCCTTTCCTGCAAAGGATTATGAGACTCCTTATATCTCCTTAGCATCAGTTGGGAACTTTGCCTGCTCCCTATGCTAAAGGGATTATAACTGTAGCCATATAGGCTCATTTCTCTACCTACTTCCTCACTGTCAGAACTATTTGGACAAAGTTTATAGTAAGCGCTTTAGAAAGTTCTTATTATAATAATGTATCGTGGTTGAGCCTTGAATCACCCATTCTAAGGTTTACTGTCTTAACTCATTTTAAAATAAGCCATATTGTTATTCTAATCATGGATGACAAAAAATTAATTCAGCCTCTTCATCTTTATACACAATTATTCACCGTCTAGTTTAGCCTTTAGTTCATTTTACAGGTTTAAGCCCCTTTTCAGGTCAGTAAAAACCTTTAGAAGGATGAAAGAGCTGCTGTTAAATGGATGATTTAGAGCAGTTCTCTATCATTTACTCCTCGTCCGTTGTAAGGACATAAAGCCAAGTGATGGTGAGGGGTTCATTATTGGTAGAAAATCAATCACCTTAACCTTTACCAATAGAGTCTGATAATAATAAAAAAAAAAATTCTGAAAAAAATACTGCGTTTGGAGAAGTTTTACAATCTTTGCTGCTTAATTAGCATAAGAGAAGTGACAAGTTCTTTTGTTTTGTTTTTTTCAGGGGGAGTGCTCCTAATGAAGTGGAGCAAATTATTACATCTAGTCCTGGTGCAACTTTTCCATTTCTGACACGATACCAATCGTGCAGCTTTGAATATTGACTGGTATGGATACTGACTACCGGTAGTAGCATGAATCTTACGTGCCTTTATTACTTCTTTATTACTGAATGTTAAAAAAAGGCTTGATAGAGTGATAATACTAAACAGGGAACAACAATCAACAACAATAAGTATAAGAACAAAATAAACCATGTAATATTAACCTACACGTTACAGAAGCAGTGTTTCAATCAGCAGCATCCATCCTTTTTCTATCACGCTTATCCCAAGCGGGGTCACGTGCTGGTGCCTATCTCCAGCGATGTATGGGCGAGAGGCGCGGTACATTCTGGACAGATCGCCAGTCCATCGCAGGGCAACACCGAGACAACCAATCACGCACACAATCACACAGAATTTAGAGAAGCCAATTAACCTAACAGTCATGTTTTTAGTCTGTGGGAGGAAGCCAGAGTACCCGGAGAGAACCCACGCATGCTCAGGGAGAACATGCAAACTCCATGCAAAAAGACCACGGGCCGGGAATCAAACCCGGAACCTTCTTGCTGCAAGGCAGGAGTGCCACTGAGCAGCCCCAATATGCATATGTCAGAGATTGCAAAGGCTTGTCAATAGGGGTGTAGTAATATGCCGACAATCCAATGCATCGACACGTCTGCATGATTATCGATTCATGCTTTTTTTTTTTACTCTGGTCTATTTTTATCCATTCGCTCGTGGACGTAAGTCTGACTCTCGTGCTGCGGTGGAACTAAACCTATTTTGCCCTCCTGACTTGCTTCCTTTAGCCACTACGCTCTTTCTGCTTGCCCACACACACTCACATAAACAGTAGGCAAGACAGACATGGCGGATTCTTGAGTATCGAAAATAATCAAATCGTTGGATAAGGAAATATATACTGAATCAAATCGCCATAACGGGTGTGATTTAAAATCCGACTAATATCCAATACTAAATATTGGATCCAAACATCACTAATTACACCTGATTGTTATAAACCCAATACACACACATATATACATCTTCTGAATAACTTTAAAGGCAAATAAGTGATAATATTTTCATCTAGACCTACTTACAAGTGTAGTTTTTCTTCACCTTTCCTTTGCCATTGTAAAAAAATCATCTATTTCTTAAACTTTCAGACCACCAACATTTTAACTTCAGTATCTTTCCGTAGCATTCAACCCTGATTCTAATTATAATTTTTATAACAAAATGTGTCCTCTGTATTTAAGATCGGGAGACGGAGGTTTAAACCAGTGATCCTAGAGCCTCTTCAGGACAGAGAGTACCTCGCTCTCTAATAACTAATCCACTTTTTTTTTTAAATATTCAATAGGTTACCTGTCATATTATTTTGTTAGTTGTTGGTTTATCAACTCTTGTCCATCTTTATACGCTCCTCATTGTTTAAAGATTTTTTTTTTCACTACATCTAACTACAACACATTAATAAAGTTCAGCACTGAATGTAGTGATCCTTTATGAAGAAGAAACAGGGAAGGTAATTAAAGAACCTGATCTCAACAGGACAGAAAAACT